TATTAAAATTTTGAGGCAAGCCACAAAATAACCCAACAGATTCCAATTAACTGCCCAGGAAAGCCTGACATTATCTAAAAGAAGCCAATGGAATGAATCAACTAACAATGTAACATGCACAATGTTTAGAACCAACAAAAATTTACCTAGTATATATTTACCCAAGAGAAATTAAAACACATGTTCACACAAACACATGTACTCAATTATCAATGAGCTTTAGTCATGATAGCTGAAAAGTGGTGGGTGGGGGAAGACCCAAACATCCATTGATATCGTAAATGGATAAACAGAAGGTGGTATGTCCATAAGATGGACGAGTACTCTTCAATAAAAAGAAACACAGTATTGACAAAAACAACAACAATGGACAAATCTCAAAAACATTGTGATAAAGTAACCAGACACAAAAGTCTACACACTGTATGATTGCATTTATACGAAATTCCAAGAAAAGCAAAATCATGGTAATAAAGGTAATGACAGTGATTTCCAGGGCCCGAGGGTTGAGGAAATGTGTTGCATACAGAGGATACTAGAAAACTTTTGGGGGTAAAGAAAAGATTATCACAATTAAGTTAACAGATGATATTGTTGTATACGTCTTTCAAAACTTGTCAAAGTGTGGATTTAAAAATTTACCAGGTATAAAAAGAAGCACAAAAATATGACCCATGACCAGAAAAAAATCCATAGATATAAACAGATCAAGTAGTGATACAGGTGGTAGAAGTAGCCAACAAGAACTTTAAAACAGCTATTAAAAATATAGCACGGGCCAGGCATGGTGACTCACGCCTGTAATCCTAGCACTTTGGGAGGCTGAGGCAGGTGGACTGATTGGGAGACATGGTGAAACCTTGTTTCTACAAAAAATACAAAAATTAGCCCAGCATGGTGGTACATGCCTGTGGTACTTGGGAGGCTAAGATGGGAGAACTGCTGGAGCCCAGAAGGTCAAAGCTTCAGTGAGCTGAAATTGTGCCACTGCATACCAGCCTCATGACAGAGCTAGAACATATCTCAAATACACACACACACGTATCTGTGTGTCTGTGTGTACATATATATATACACATATATATATATACACACATATATATATATATACACACACATATATATATATATTTTAAGGAAGTAGAGAAAAATATGACCATGATGAGTAAAGAAATGGAAGATATAAACTTCTATAGATGAATGTTACAATATTTACAAAGATAACTACACTGGATAGAAAGTACAGCAAATTAGACACTGAAGAACAAAAGCACAGTGAACTTGAATCCATCTTTATTCAAAATAAAGAAATGGGAGCAAAATGAATAAAAAAATGAACAGGGTTCCAGTGATAGGTAGTAAAATATTGAATGGTCTAAATGTAATTGAAATCCTAGAAAGAGAGAAAAGTATATACAGAAAAAAATAAAACACACAGTGGCTAAAATTTTTCAACTACGATAAAATCTAAAAACCCATAGATACAGAAGCTCAATCAATATTTCTATTCCATTCAGAATAAATATAAAGAAAACTATGTCAATGTACCTCCTAATAAAATTTTCTGTGATCAGTGACAAAGAGGACATCCTGAAAATAGCCAGAAATAAAAGGTACATTATGTACAGAAAAGAACAACAAAAAGAATGGAGGCAGACTTCTCATAAAAAACAAGGTAGCCAGAAGACAATATAAGACCTGATAAGGCACCAGAAGAAACGGTCAACCTAGAATTGGTTACCCAGTAAAAATGTGTTTCGCAATTGAATGAAAAACAAGGAGTTTAAACAGTTTTGCTAGCATATCTGCACTATAAGAAATGTTAAAGGAAGTTCTTCAAGGAAAAGAAAAAAAACAGACTGAAATTTTGATCGACATAAAGAAATAAAGAGCTCTAGAAATGGTAAATATGTCAGTAAATCTAAAAGTTATTTTTTCCAAAAATTTGAAACTCTTTAAAAGCAAATCCTCTTTAAAAGATAACAGATGACTGTTTACAGCAAAATGAATAACCACGTATTAAGGGCTTGTAACTATGTACAGAAAATAATGTATGAAAACATTAACACAAATGAAAGGAAAGCAGAAGTGAAAATACATTGTGTAAAATTCTTACATTCTACTTGAATTGTAATATTACTTGAGGGTAGAATCATGTACCACCATGCTGGGCTAATTTTTGTACTTTCATAATTTTTGTAGAGATAAGGTTTCAAGGTTTCACTATGTTGCCCTGACTCCTCTTGAACTTTTTTTTTTGACATGGAGTCTCACTCTGTCACCCAGGCTGGAGTGCAGTGGTACGATCTTGGCTCGCTGAAACCTCTGTCTCCCAGGTTCAAACAATTCTCTTGCTTCAGCCTGCTGAGCAGCTGGGACTACAGGCACACACCACCACACCCAGCTAAATTTTTGTATTTTTTTTTTTTTTAGTAGAGACAGGGTTTCACCATGTTCCCAGGCTGGTTGCGAACTTCTGAGCTCAGGCAATCCACCCACCTTAACCTCCCACAGTGCTGAGATTACGGGCTTGATGAGTTAAAGGTATATAACAACTAGAACAACCCGTGAAACAAAAAGCAGAAGTATAGATAATTAACCAATACTATAGATGACACAAAATTATTTAAAAGATCAATTAATTTAAAAGAATTCAGGAAAAGATACAACAACAGAACTGATGGGACAAATAGAAAAAGAATAAGATAATATATTTTGATCCAACATATTAATATCTACATTAAATATAAACCATCTAAATACATTAGCTAATAGGCTGTGACTGTCAGTTTGTATGAAAAGACAACAAACTACACACTGCTACAAAAATGTACTTTAAATACAAATGTAAAGGTTGAAAATAAATAGAAAAAGGTATATCTACTGAAAACTAAGCATAAGCAAGCTATCACTGCTAAACTAATATCAGATAAATTAGACTTTAAGAGAGAAAAAGGATATTTCATATTGATTAAAAGATTAGTTTATAAAGATGCTTAAAAACCTACATGTGATTGTATATCATAACATTGAGACACATAAATAAAAAACAAAAGAATTAAAAAGAGAAACATACACATCCATAATTACATTTGGAGGTTTAAACATTTCTTTGTCAGTTACTGATAAAACAAGTAGACAGGATATCAGTAAACATTCAGGAAATGTGAACACCATTATCAACCAATTTGACATAATTGATATCTACAGAATAATTCATCTAGCAACAGATTATAGATTCTTCTCAAGTGTACCTGTACAACTCACTAAAGTAGACCATATAATGTGCCATAAAACAAGTCTCAATAAATTTAAGAGAAATGAAATTAAACAAAATGCATTTTGTGACCACAACCTGGATTAGTAACAGAAAAATATGTGGAAAACCCCCAAACATTTGAAATTTATGCAACATCATTCTAAATAGTCCATGAGTCAAAAGGAAGTAAATTAGAAACTATTTTTAATGAATAAAAATGAAGACATATCAAAATGTGTGGGATGGAGTTAAAGCAGAAAGCAATTGAGAGCATTAAATGCTTATATTAGAAAAGAACAAAGATTTCACATCAGACATCCAATCCATGATTTTAGGAATCTAGACAAGAGCAAATTAAACCTAAAGCAACTAGAAGAAAGAAAAATAAGATAAACAGAAATCAGTCAAATTTTTAAAATTTGAAAACAAAACATCGATATAATCAACACAACAAAAAATTATTTTTGAAAATGTTAATAATATTGATCAATCTTTAACTTGACTAACCAAGAAAGATACAACACAAACCAACCAATATCAGGAATGAAAGATAGGACATTATAGATATCACATTATTATAGACATTAAAAAGATAAAAAGGAAATATTATGAGCAATATGCCTATAAATTGCTATCTTAGATGAAATAGAAAAAAGTCCTTGAAAGATACAAACTTCTGAGGACTTCTGCCAACATGGCTGAAAGGGAGCTTCTCCCGAGTGCATCTCCCAGCAAGTGACACACAGAACCAGAGCGATATTTGCATCTCCAAACAAGGTACAGGGTTCATTTCAAAGGGACTAGTTTGAACAGCGAGATTAACCCAAAAAAGGTGGCAAAAGTAGCCCAAAGAGGGTGAGCCGAGACAAGGCTGGGTTCTTCCCCACTCAGGAAGTGCATCTGGCACGGAGGATGGGGGGCTTTACCTCCTGAGTACTCCAATTCAGATACTGTGCTTCACTTTGTGACTTCTGCAGCCCACAGTCCAGGAAAACGTCACCTGGCTGAGAACTGCCCCGAGTTGCAAACCCAGGCGACAGCGCTGGCCAGCCCATGCTGCTAATTGTTGGCACAGACCAGGGCAGAGACTTTGACTAACACCAAGACGTCTTGTGAGAAGGAACTGCCCATCCCACAGAAGGGGGGAGAGTAGAAAGCGGGGATTCAGATGATATGGCCAGACAGGTCCCACCCCCACAAGATCCAGTAAGCGGAAGCCCACTGATGGGAGAGTTTCACAGTTAACACATGAGGCTGAACTCCATCTGGGACAAGCGGGCTTGGTGGAGGGAAAGACACCCGCCATTGTGAAGGCGGGGCTCATCTCACCTGTATAAGCAAAAACCAGGAGAATAAACAGCAGCCTGGCTGAGACCGAGGCAGCCCAACAGTGCCTCCACAGGCAGATAATGGACAGACTGTCTTAAGCCGCACACTGGCCTCTGTGTGAAAAATAAATAAATAAATATATTAAAAAGCCTCATACAGGAGAAACAACCCCAACTTTAACAGAAAGGATGTCCACTCAGAGATCTCACCTGAAATCACCAACTTCAAATGTCAAAGATGGATAAATCCATGAAGATGGGAAGAAACCAGAGCAAAAAAAAAAAAAAGAAATCATCAAAGTCCAGAATGCCTCTCTTCTCCTAAGAGATCACAACACCTCACCAGCAATGGAACAAAACAGGTCAGAGAATGAATTTGATGAACTGACAGAAGCAGGCTTCATAAGATGGGTAATAACAAATTTCTCTGAGCTAAAAGATCATGTTCTAACCCAAAGCAAAGAAAGTAAGAACCTGAAAAAAGGTTAGGCGAAATGCAAACTAAAATAACCAGCCCACAGAGAAACATAAACAACTTGATGGAGCTGAAAAACACAGCACAAGAACTTCACAAAGCATACACAAGTTTCAATAGCCAAGTTGATCAAGCATAAGTCGTAAGAAGTGGCGAGATTGTGGATATATTTTGAAGGTAATAGCTAACAGGATTTCCTGCTTAGTCAGAGGTGGAGATGAGAAAAAGAGACTGAGGGACTGAAAGAATGGAATTGCTACCGTTTTGAGATTATGGGGAATTCAGGAGTTTCATGAAAGTCTGTTATGTTTCTTAAACTTTCAAGTGGAGATGTCAAGTAGGCAGTTGGATATATGAATCTGAAGTTCAAGACAGCGGTCTGGGCTGGAGACATAACATTTCCAAGTATCCAGCACTTTCTGGTATTTAAAGTCATAATTCAGAATGAGATCACCAGGGAGTGAATAGATGAAGAAGATGAAAGACTGAGCCTCCTTGGTCTTACAGCTTACTGTTCGGATGTTAATTTTATCCTGTGTTCCCAGTACTCTACTATGCTCTCAGTCAATGAAATCTTATGTGGTTGGTGGATTATATCTTATACTCTGGGCACCATAGGGCAAACTCTCAGCTAACTCCTGCTCTAAGTTCTCACCAAATCAAGGGTATTTGCAGAGGTGTGGCTTTATCTGCTGTATTCCCTTTGCTGTCTATTGTATTTTGCACATCTTTTGATCTTTTGTGGCTGATAAAGGCATGCAGATATTGGCACTGGGCCTGCAACAAAGAAACAAAGGCAGGTTGTCATGCTGGGCATTAAATGCAAATTTTGAGGTCCCTCTAAGTGCTTTCACTGAAGTGGCTGAGGAAATGAAGATAAAGATTAGCAGGGGAAACTAGAGTCCCTTTGATATTATGAAATGTGCTATAAATACCACTATAGACTCTGGGGATCATCCAGCAATTGTAATCAACAGTGGCTCCAAGACACTGTGAGAGGACACATTCATGGACCTCAAGAGATTTAAAGAGCACAGAACAGCCATGGCCAAGAACACATTTCCATAGAGACTACAGAGAGCTGATGCAGCTGGTGCTATCTATTCCAAGACATACGGTACATTTCCTCCAACTGCACATGGGGTAGTAAACCATGTTCCTGTTATATTGATGACAAATCACTTTACCAGTTTGCCTTTGATTTTGTTACATTTTCTAACAAAAATATTATATTTTGTATGCAATCAAGTGCACAGATTATAAAAATTTCTTCCATTGTTCTTCTCAATCCAATTTACTTCTAGTTTTTCAAGAATCAGCATCATTTTCAATCATTGTATGACACTCCATATTCCATCAATCAAATGTCTCATTGTTGTTGACATTTCTTTTTAACATTGTCTTCCTCCATTGGTTATGAGGAGTCCTTAGGTATGTGAAGGATGGCTGAAGTCTCCATCTTGAACTCAGACTCCTCTATCCCATTAATTCTCCCACTCACTAATTGGAAGTTCATTTAGCGACATCCTTCCAGAGATGGATTGAGTGTTGTTGACCCATTAGCACTGTGGAAGGGGATTTATCATAACATACTAACTCACTCTCCTTTTGACAAGTTCTTGCTCTCTTCTAGGACATGCACAATTCCTCTAAGGACTCTCTGGCTGGCTTGTTCTTCTCAGTGATGTCAGTGTCTGAGTTTCAGGGTCCTGAGCAACATACTTTTCCTGATGTGATGAGCTCACACATCTGTGGCTGCAAATCTTTATAATGAGGCTGCCCTCTCCTCTCCTGAATGGCCCTGGGTAATGGCAGAGCATGGAATTCTGGCTCTAGCTCTGTAGGCCACAGTGATGTGGCAGAATAAACACTGGTTTTTGGGTCTGGAGCCCAGAGTTGCAATCCTGCTTCATACCAGATTCAATGTGTCACCCACAGCAGCTTGGGTCACCTCTCTAAGCCTTTCTGTCCTCACCTGTAAAATGTGACAAGGAACTACACTGTCTCTAAAATCTGCTTTAGATCAAAATGTCCATCATTCTTTGATTCAATCATACAGCACTTTATACTCCTTTTAGGAAATGTGAAGCAAAGTAGGAGAAGTCATAGTCAGAAAAAAAATGATTATCCTAAAAATGTTGGTAGGGCCTCACTGTGCTCTGGTTCCAGGAGAGAATTATGCCCTAATAACCTAAGGTATTCATTGCGTGTACTGAATTAACTTCTCTCCTAGGCATCTAGGATCACACTAATTAAGTACCAGCTTCAAGAGAATGAGAAAATAGTCACTCAAAACATTTTCTGTGTTTAGTGGTTCCCACAAAAAAAACCCAGTTGCACAATTGTACTAGGATTTGATAGTCCTAGTGTGGCTGGGGCTGTGTGTGTATGTATGTTTTTGTTCATGAAGGTGTTGAGATAGAAGGAAATTGCCTTTGAAATAAGCCAAATGATTCAGAGAGTCCATCCAGCCAGTGCAGTTCTGCTTCTGTGCTTTCCAACGCCATGAGCTGTGGCCCTAATGACCTTGTGTTTTCTCTGTAGGAAAAGCTTGGTCTGAGCAGCTCACTCTTACAGTACAGGAGTATGACTCAAAGTGGTTCTCTTGAAATCTGGATGCGAATGAGTGTTCCATGATCAGAAGAGGTGAGGGAGTCTTCAGTGTGCAGATAAATCTGGAAAATGCAGGTTCATCGTTTCTTTACGCCAGCACATCTCAGGGCTTTTTGCGTGTTTGGTTCATTTTGTCCTTCTGGTAAAAGCTACAGCAACATTTTTAAAATTTATGCATCTTTGGAATTCTTTGATTGAGGGATACCTCACTGGACAAAAAAAAAAAAAAAAAAAGAAAACCAGTATACTAAAGTTCATGTGGACTGTCCCTGAAGACTCTATATTTTTAGTGAAGATTGGAATCTTGAACTAAATCTCAGAGAGTAAGTTTGGAAAATTCTCTTGGCCAACAGAGGTCATGTTGGCTGAAGTCCCACTGTACTAGATGATAGCTTCTCTACCTGTTGGTATGATTGCCCTGCTTTTGTCACTAAGGGTAAACATTACCTGCCTCTTAAGGCATGTCCCAGTCCTACTTGCATCCACCAACAAGAACAAAGGAGTTTGTTTCTCGAAGGAGTCCTTGATCCTCTCATCCCTAAAGATATGGGCAAAAGACAGACATTCCACTGACACCCTAGAAGGTAATTCCTACCCAGGGACCAAAGCTTTGTCTTATAGGATGCCCCTCCTCAACTATTGCTGCTGCTGTAAATTGATCCTTTAATCCTGACTTTATTGTATTACCCTCAAATCCAATAAAACAATTACCAAAAAAAAAAAGAAAAAAAAGAAAAGATAAATACAGTGGAAGCAAAACCTTTAAATAATCCATTATACATATGTACAAAAACTAGATTTTTATGAACATTATTTCTCTAGGTATCCTTTTTTAAAGAAAGTGATACATATACTTTAAGGTCAAAATAAATGGAAAAATGTTATCTCAATGTCTTAAGTGAGAAACCAAAACCTTCGTGGTCTTAACATTTTATTCATAAGCAGACGTTTATAGTTGTTTGATCCACTGATTCAAGGTTTATATTTGAAACTATTTTATAATAAATTCTCAGATTTCTGTAGATCTTTGAAAGCTAAAGCTGAAACAGCAAAGGGTACCTGTAAACAGAAGGGCCAAAAAACACTAATGCTCTCCTACATTTTCTGGACCAACACTGAAGAAGACATTAAAAGAGGGCTTTGGGCCGGGCATGGTGGCTCATGCCTGTAATCCCAGCACTTTGGGATGCCAAGGCAGGCGGATCATGAGGTCAGGAGATCACTACCATCCTGGCTAACACGATGAAACCCCGTCTCTAGTAAAAATACAAAAAATTAGCCGGGCATGATGGCACATGCCTGTAGTCCCAGCTACTTGGGAGGCTGAGGCAGGAGAATCACTTGAACCCAAGAGGCAGAGAGGCTGCAGTGAGCCAAGATCACATCACTGCACTCCAGCCTGGGTGACAGAGCAAGAGTCTGAAAAAAAAAAAAAAAAAAAAAAAAAAAAAAAGGCCTTTGATGAACAACTGGGGACCGGACCAAGAGTCCCAATTTCAGTTTCAACAAGTCATCAAATACTATATGAGTCAATTACATAAACACTGGAATTTCCCAACATCTGATTCCAATAGCAGGAGAGCAGCCCAGGTTCACAATGGAGATTTCTCAATAGGCAATGCCGTTTTCCAGGTAATTAAAACTGTTTGTATAGGAGAGTAGATTTATCTTCTGAAACCATTTTAGCACTAGTGCTCTCCTGAGTGGTATCAGTTGACACACTGCATAATCTAGAACAGACTAATTGCCGCATGATTTCTAATTTTTCTGCAGCCATGTAAATGAGCTGAAGTCTGCACAGGTGGAGCCCATTAGAGTGAATGATTTCCCTCTCATGTTGTTATCTTCATTTGCCGTTGTCTTATCAACTCCAAGTAGGAAATCCGCTGTCATGAAAAGCAGGCAAGGGAACAATGTCTGGCTGAAAAGTCTTGTTTCATTATTTTTTAATTCGTACAATCCTACTTGCTTAATGCAGTTTTCTGATTAGCATGCTGCGCATCTAGTAATGCAGTTTTATTCAAATAAGGAGGCAGGGCTTTAATTTAAACTAAGAAATCATCTCCATTTCTTATCAAGGAACAAGAATTCGTGATTCAATAATACATGAATTTAATAATGCATAATGGTAGACTTCACAGGTACTAAATAGCAATACCAGAGTGGGTTAGTATGCTCTGTGGGTCGCCATCTGAAACTCCCAATCTGGCTTATCCACATCCCCTCCCCTCATCTCTTTCATTATTTCCTTTCAGCAAAAGAGTTGTGCCATTTTCCTTATTCCTCTGACGCTGCCAAGGGCCCAACTCGAAGGCTGCATCTTCACTTTATGACCGTGTTTAATAGCTGTTAAGCTGCTGGACTTTAGCCTTTGCAAGAATTCCCAAATTGGACCCAAGGGAGATTTGAAAGGATTGGGAGGCAGAGAATGGGGAAAGAAAAGTAAAGAACTTCATTCCCTATCACTAATTGCTTTTTCCACTGAGGTATATATCCATGGCCTCATTTTAGTGAGGGAAAACAATGTGTAGTGTATTTGCAATATCCAGGGTCACATAATCTCTTTATAACTCTATTTGTGTTTCACAGCTCCCAGATACCTAAGCCTGGCATTCCAATGATAGCTGGAGTCAGCATTCCTTCATTTTATGGTTTGCGTGGTTCTCTTTGCTCTGGGTTGCCCAGTGAATGGCTTCCCATTTTGCCTGATCTTAAAATTCAAATGTGCAAAGAATTACAGGGGGCCCAAGTGAATGACCTGAGTGGCTTGACCAACAGGAAAGCCAAGGGAATCAGACATACCTTGCTTTTCATCATCCATTTATTTGTTTTTCATTTTATTCAATTTGGAAAATTAGATAAAGCTGGTCCACTTCATTTTCTACTTCTTTCATCTGAACACAATGAGTTAAGATTTTTTAAAAAAGGAGTTGGAGAATTTTATTTAGGAGAAAATTAAAATGCACATGTGGAATCTTGTTGGCACAAATACATAAGCACAAAATGTGCTAAGTTTCTAAGAATAATTAAGCTTTTAGAGTTTTTTTCACATGCTACAAAATGTTTCTCAATAAGCACAAATGTCTGCTATTAGATGGCCAAAAGAAAACTACCTAGCTGACTTCAGTGAGTCTGCAAAATCGAATGTGTAATGTGAGTATTGATACTATGTGTTAATTTCATTCTTCTTGCTCAGGTAAGTAAGTACTGATACCACAAAACCTCCTTGCAGCCAAGTTTGTAGCTGAGATCTCATTTGTATACCTCATGGAATTATTTAAAAATATGGGGTATTAAAACGATAAATAAAACATAGGTCTACCCACAGGGGGCTCACAGTTTGTCAGGACAAGTGAAAATATACACAAATACTGTATAGTATTATAGCAGATAGAGATTTGTACATAGGCGATGTTGCAAGAGCAAAGAATAATAAAGAACTAGACACTGAGAAGTTCTTAAAAATGATATGCAATTGTAATTTCAAGGATCTCTAAGCTATTATTGGATTGGTGGTGCTACATTTGAGTTAATGATTTTTACTTTCTAGTTAGTTGTGTTGGCAGCAGTTGACACATTTATATGGCTCCTTTGGCCAAAATAGTCGCATAAACTGGGCAAAGAAAGGCTCAGTAAACATAATTTTTAATGTTTTAAAAATCTAATTCACTCTTCCTTAGAGTTTATGGGTTTGCAAATATATGCGTGAAAGGAGATTATTCTATGTTTACTTTTATGTCTTTATAATCTATATTCCACAAGCAGCCTTAAGGTGAATTATAATAAACATACACACATGCAAAAGAACTCAAGCACTAGGGTAGTAAAATAGAAATTAAAAAAAAAAAAAAAAATGGAACTCACAGAGAGAATGGGAGATTGTCCCAGGATTAAGTCATGAGATAATTATGATAACTAACCTTGAAGCTTCCTAAAAGTTGAATATAGGTAAATATTTGAGGAAATGTAATTCAAAGTACCGTTCTTTTCACTGGTCTTTGGCCTATTCCTCCTGTCTGGGTGAGGTGGGAGGGAAAGGGTCAGTAGGACATAACACCCATAAATCAACTCTAATCTCTAAGGGCATTTTCCAGCAGAGTCTTAGAGAAGGTCATACAATAGATTTTTTTTACCCTCAACAGAATTTTACTCCCTATATTGCCCCCACTTAAGAAGATTGTATCCTGGGAATTTTTTCAAGGGAGTCCAAAGGGATGTCAAATTCATTATCCTGCACCCTGCTTGGAGCACTAATCCAGATTTCTTCGCTACAGAAACTTGCTTCACAGGTGGTTGCTGAAGTTATAGTATTTTTCTTTATGTTTAAAGTTAATCCAGCTCAGTATCAATAGCAAATCCTCTTAAAACATGTACATAGAAGGCCAAGCCAGTATTTTGACATTCCTGGCTGGAAACTATGCCATTAACACCTTCAATTAATCTCCATGCAAGGTCATTTGGCGGCTCACATTCAAGACCATATGTTAAGATGTTATTAGTTTTCCTGCAAAGGGGATGTTTGGCCAGTTACAACTAGAAGCAGATGCCCACCAATAGGATCAGAAGGGAAGGGAATAGTTGCCTTAGTTATAATACCTCACACCTCACCTGTTACTGGGGTAGGCCAGGAAACTCCCCAACTAATCATCAAACCAGGAATTCAACAATTTTAGGGCTTATGAGATTTATTACGATCAATTATCAACAACAGAAAAGAGAAAAAGTAAAGTTCCATAGAGGTAACTGATCTGGTTATAAATTCATGTCTTAGGAAATGGCCTAATACATTCATCAGAAAAAAACAGCTAACTAGGTACCAAGAAGAACTGGATTCCAGTATTCATTCTGCAACTATCTCTGTATGTTATCTAGGAAAACTTGCCTACCTTTCTGTTCTTGCTTTTGCACTTCTAAAAATAGGGAGGGAAAGCTATGTGGGGGAGCCAGGATTAAGACGGTGGCATTATCACATAAAGTGATACTACATGCAAAACATGTTGTGACAACTAAAAATCACTCTTTAAATTCAAACTGTGTACTATTTTTCCAAGGATAAATAACAATTTCTTTAGAATAGCATATTTTTGGGGGTGTAATTCCATTGCAACGGTTTGGGCTACTGGCCAAATCCATTAAAATAATCTATTGTGGGGATCAAAATCTCTTCACTTGGAGCCATTTGTCTAGAAGAACCATCATTTGAATTGTTTCCAATATATAATAGACAGAGTTCCCTGCAATGCTACTAAAGTGTATTGAATGGAAGAGTACCACTCCCAAGACAGGGTGTGTACCCAGAAACTCCTTGGCATGTGTAAAGGGCTATCCATGCCATTTGTTGAAGCTGAATTGTATTAAATGAGCTTGGAATAGTCACTGAAAGGCCCTTTGGGGACTGGTTCCCAAACTTGAGTGAGCATGCATCAGAATCATCTGGAGGAATTGTTAAAGCAGAGACTTCTGAACTCTGCCTCCAGTAGGTCTGGGATGGGCCTAGAATTTGAATTTCTAACAAGCTCTGGGGTGAAGCTGATAGTGTACCCAGGATACCATACTTTAAGATAGAACTGGCTTGTCATCCTCTCCTAATAGGTGAAAATTAAATTAGACAAATGTGGTCTTCAAAGGTGTTTCAGATCCCAGGGGTATCTCAGGGATTCTGTTCTCCCCCTCCACTACAGTGAGCATAACTGCGCTTTTATCAATTGCTTTAATTGGTGTCCTGCACAGGAATTTGTTTAATAAAAACTGTTCTGGACTCATCCCAAATAAGTTAAAAGCCAAGCTACTAAATTTAGGGATTTCTAAGAATCCTTCAGACTCTAACCCTTTATAAAAATCTTTGATTTGGTGCCCCCAAGGAACCTTGAATATCTTCCTGGTATGGTGCAGACCCACTTAAATGCCAGGAACACTCCCTAAATTACAAACTCACTTCAAGTTTAAGAGTGGCTCAAAAGTAATGGAGGTTTCATAGGCCAAAGGGGTCCAAACTCAGTGTCACATGTAGTTTCGATAACTTGAACATGAACAGCACTCTTTGGAAGGAAAGGTCTCAGGTCCAAGAAAGAACTCATGCTTCTCAAGATTTAAGTAGCCTCAGCAAGGCTTTCCCCCAGTACTGTGAAGTTAATTAAGCATTTGCTGCTCACAGTCTCCATGCATTTTCTCCTTAACTACGCTCTTTATTGTGAGCAAAGCAATCCCTTTGGGAGTGTCCATACCACTGACTCACAGGAGGCATAGAGAGAGTTTTGGGGTATAGTAAGCCTAAAGGCAGCTGCTGTAGAGGATGAGCAGGGAGTAGTCTGCTGGACTGCAAACCAGCAGGATTTCAGATACCTCCAGAATATAGTGTAAGAAACTGAAATTTTCAGTCTTTCCCTGAGAAAATTGCCAGTGGCCTGAATGTGGAGACTTCGTTGACTAGTAATCATTGTTGCTATTATTGATACCATTGTCTGTCAGCTACTAGTGCCAAGCACTCTGCTAGCATCATGTGTCATTTTTAACATACATTTCCTCATATACATTATCATTCTCTTCATGACAACCAATGTACACTTTTTTCCCCAGAAGAAACTGAGGCCAGAGTGGTTAAATGTTATTCCTGAGACCTCTCAATTTGAAGTGTTTATAATTGGAAATTGCACCCAAGTGAGTCTTGCTTTAAGGATCAATTCCCTGCAATGGTTGTCAGTTTGCACACTGTCCACTGTTCCTTTCCCTCGATAACAATGACAGTTCCCTCATCTTCTGGGAGCTTGAAAATTTTATTGTGAAGACTGGTGGCCATAGTTCACATTTTTAAATGGCTCTCTTACACAAGCTTCTTGTAGCCCTGTCTTAATTTCTTTCAGATTTCAGATCCAGGGTCCCCAGGTTGTGCCAAGCTATGGCAGCCTTTCAAAGTAAGTCCAGCTGGATCTAGTCTGATAGACTGCTGCTGAGCAAAGACGTAGCTTTTCATAGTCCATGGCACTCAGAAGCAGGAATCAATTAACTTTTAGGACAGGAAAAATAGATCACTTGGATTGCTGAAGCAGGAAGAGCTTCTATAGCAGCTAAGAGAAACCAGTCCAGGGAGTGAACTGCTGTATCCATGGCTCAGGAGCTCTGAAGGTTTGCTGAATAGAGAGTGCTCTTAATGACCAAGGCTTGGGATGTTTGTCGATAGGCCTAGCCCATGAAGAACACTATTCAGTACACAGGGCCTTGTTCATAATGCTTCAGAAAGATGAGTTAGAAAGTATCAAAAGATATCCATTTGATTCTTTTAGCAATTTCTTAATGGCATTAAGGATACAAAAGAATATCCCTTGTGAGCTCTTGTATTTTCTCAAAATACCGAGTATACTGCAGGAGGATTAAAAAAGAAACTGATCTAGAATAACTGATGTTGTTCCATGGAAGAACCCCAGAAAGCATCCTGGGACTTCATTTTCAATTAGTAGTGAGTCATGTTAGACCATGAGGTAGATGGTGTAAGCATCGTTTACGAATGTATTCCTGAATATGCTAAAACCCTGATCCAAACCTGGCAGTAGGCAGGGGAGTCAGAAATGCCCTCTCCCATCAAGAATGCCATGCTGATGTACTGACACATTCTACCAGATGCCCTGAAGACAGATGGCACGTCTAGGCAACGTGGAAATCAAGGATCATCTATGCAGGTTTTGCTATAAAATGTGGGATGCATTATGTGTTTCCATCTTGCTGTAAATCCTCACAAGATGCTACTTCATTCTAAATTGTGGCCCCAATCCCCAGGTTACAAATAAGAATTTTTAAATAATTTCAAGTACAGAGTTCATCGTGCACCATTGTCAGGCCAGGCAGCACTTTAAACAATTAAAAAATGATCACGGATGGCAATGAGAATGAGTCCAGTGACTCTCCGCATGCAAACAGGAAAACATCTCTAGGATAGAACATAAATGAAAAGCACATGGTGCATATATATGTAGGTATGTTGTTTACATTTTCTGAAAGGCTGCACAAGAAGCTATTACAATGATTACCTTGGAGCAGAGGGACTAGATATAAAGAACAAAGAAAGGTGACTTCCATTTTTCATGTCACACATTTTTGTAGGCTTTGAATATTTTGCCACATGTGTATATTATTTTTACTTTTAAATTTTTAAAATAAACTGTGCTCATCTATCATCAGTTCATAACAAAAAGGATATTTTTTAAAGTAGAAAGGACATAATCTTATAATAAAGGGCTGTCCATCCAATTAAGTTTTCATTAACAAAAGCAAAACAACACACAAACAGAATAGGCTCTTATTGTAATGCATATAGTGAAGACACATGTATAAAAGATGATTCTAAGAGTGGTATGTGAAAAAATATAATAACAGGCATGTTCCCCCCAAAAATCATCTTAGTGCTGGTTTGCATAGCTCCGATTTTTCACTCCAAGATAGCTATGGATTTGCAGCCTGTCTGGGTATGGAAACAGGTGATAGATGTGGATAGAAAGCAATACTGGGATATAATTTCCATTTACTGGCCATGTACCACCTTCCTTTGCTGGGAGAGAGATAGGTGGCCAGTTGTCCACCCCAGAGGCAGTGCCCCACTAGCAAGCCACCTGAGAAAGGCAGTTACCCTCCCTGTTTTCGTAAGACTCTCTACCTTCCTTAGCACATAATTGCTAGAGTGAGATGGTGTGTGTGTGTGTGTGTGCATGCTTGCATGCACACATGTGTCTGCTAATTTCAGGAGAATCCTGCCAGAAAAAGGAGCATCAAAGGATGAGAAGGGATATAGAGATGCAGAATCAGAGATAAAAGGGACCAAATTTTACTAGCAATTACGGCAAATATCTAACTTGCATAAATGAAGCCAATTACTGTATTATTGCCTCCTTTTGCACTGTGCACAGTAGGGATGTCACTGGATAATGGTTTGCATGTAGAGTTAATCACTTTGATGCATTTCTGACTGATCCCAGCAAATTATGTTTTGGTTCCACTATATTAAACACAAGAGCTGGGGATTATCACTAATAAATCTAAGGCACAGCATGCATAAATCTTGAATAAATCAAATATCAATTACATAGGCAGTATCTGCTGACATCTGCTTTCATCAAATAATATATTTGAAATAGGTGTTATTTCAATTTGTTGAAGTCAAAGGGATCTTCATACAGGGAGCACAGACCCTGGACCCCAAAGGAAAATGCAGCTGAGCCATTGCTGAAGAGCCCCTCAGTGATGTTCAGTTTTAATCTGTGAAGGCTACATTTAGGTGGCTACCCAGAGATCCAGAGGAAAGGTTATATTGCTGTGGAAAGTGCTTCCAGCTAAATGCCATTTTCATGTAGGTATTTTTAAAGGAAGGAGGAGAAATTGAGGTGAGAAAGGAGGAAAACTTTCTAAACATCTGGCTAGCAAGGATAGGAACAGGCAATTCAGGGGATGTAGGTGACTCTCACAGTACAAGAAGTCAGAATCCACACAGATACAAGGAAAGAAGGACAGTTCATGATAGGAAGACCTCTGAAAATGAGTGGTTGTGAGGATAGCTTATAGGTTTACCCAAGGAGAAATAAAAGTAGGAGGTGAGGGAAAGGTGGATTTGCATTTACTAAGCACCAGGCATGGGGCCAAACTCTAGATCGGAAACTTAATCTACTCTCTTAATCCTCACAGCATCTTGCATAAGGCAGACATTAGTGTTTGTTCTTATCATTTGAGGAAGCTGGGACTTGGGAAGTTAAATAAGGTGAATAAGGTCATACAACTCTCAAATGGCACAACAGGATTTAAATCTGGATCTGTATGAATGTCCTACATGGCACCAGTGGTGGTAGTGGTTATAGTATTAGTATGTGTGTGTTCATATAAAAAAGAGAGAAGAAAGTGTAAGCACATGGGGAAGGAGAGAGGAAGGGGGAATGAGGAGAATATGTGTTCATTTAAAAATCACGCTACATATTCTCACTCATAAGTGGCTGTTGAACAGTGAGAACACATGGACACAGGGAGGGGAACATCACACACCAAGGCCTGTCAGGGGGTGGGGGGACTAAGGGACAGATAGCAGGCGGTGGGGGGATTGGGGAAGGTTAACAGGAGAAATACCTAACGTAGATGACGGGGAGATGGATGCCACAAACCACCATGGCACATGTATACTTGTGTAACAAACCTGCACATTCTGCCCATGTACCCCAGAACTTAAAGTATAATTTAAAAAAAAGGCCGGGCGCAGTGGCTCACGCCTGTAATCCCAGCACTTTGGGAGGCCGAGGCGGGTGGATCACAAGGTCAAGAGATCGAGACCATCCTGGTCAACATGGTGAAACCCCGTCTCTACTAAAACTACAAAAAATTAGCTGGGCATGGTGGTGCATGCCTGTAATCCCAGCTACTCAGGAGGCTGAGGCAGGAGAATTG